ACACATAAGGGGATCAGCTTGTACAGGCTGATTGACCCAGTTTGGCTCAGACGTGCCCTAATGAACTGAATGCTGGCCCATGAGGGTGTCATCTGGACACCCAGCCAGATTCAGAGGTATTCTGTTTAACTGTGTGCTTGTGTCTGACTGTAGTTTATTGCTGCTCTGATGAACTGATTCTTGGCATATGAGGGTGTCAGCCTGTCCATGCTGATCAACCTGGCCAGGTCAGGCGTGTCACGTTAATCTGTGTGTGTTTGTGTGTATGACTGATTTGGGGACTGGAGGAACCCAGCCCCACTGAACTGAGTCCTGCAAGATAGCTCCATTGGGGGTGAGGGCTTGCAGAAGGGAGAGATGCAGCTCCGTATAGAAACACAAGTAACACAAGCAGCACATTAATAGAATTGCCAAGACCCTAGCCCTAATAAATGAGCACACCCCAAAGTAGTGGGCAAATCTGGTAACACTAGTTATGGGAGATCTCAAAGCAGTAAGAATACTGCTTACATAACTAACCTTAGCTTCATCAGTGCTACTTACCGACCTTAAAGAGGAGCTGGATTTGGGCCATAGAAGTCAGTTTGGGCACCATAGCTTTTTAGTGCATTACTGGTGAGGTGGAGGTGAAAGGTTCCTTCTTTGTTTTCTTCTGTGTGCTGAGTAGAAATGCTATTTCTGATATTGTGCAACAAAAAGCTCCAAAGTTGCCTACTTAAATTTGCTTATCAAGAGCTACTTCCATAAAGACAGGTCTTTCTAGTATTTAACCTCTTATGCATGCCTGTTTCAGAGAAAAAGCAAAAGTCAATACAACGGAGTAAAAAATAAATCAACATTTTTGTTTCATGGCAAATAAGATAATTGGTTAAAGAACTTCTAATTATTTTTGTCATTCTCAGCTGGACTCCTTCCAGTGCGTCCTCGTTTCTTGAAGTGCAGGGCCCAAAACTGAAGATAGTAAACCAGCTGAAGCCACACCAATCCCAAATAGAGTAGAAGAATCACTTCCCTTGATTTTCTTGTTTCAGACAGTGTTTCTGTATTGTTACTGAGCAGCAGGAAGTAGAGTTAGATGTTAATAAATGCCATTCAGTGGATGACTATAATGGAGAGTGGCAAAGGAGGAAAAAAGAGACATTATAGAGGTTATGGTACACTATTATTTGATTACTCAATTTAAGCATATGTACTTGCAGACAGTTCAGTTCTAAAGGCCAAATCCTACAGAGAAAAATAAGTTGTTTCTCAATATAAGAAAGGTGTTATCCTGGCTGACTGCTCGATCACTGTCTATTGTAAAAACTTGCAACAGGGTGCATGCATAAGCTATCTTGAAGTGCAGTATATTAAAAAATGATAACCTGTCTTAGAGAGAGAGTTTTTTTTAATGTACATCTATGTGTAATTTAAATTCCTTTTGCAAAATAAATCCACAAAAAACTCAACTTGGTTATAATTAGTATTTATTAAAAATGTAATGGAGAGAATAAGACACTAAAATGCTGCCCTAGTTTACCTGTGCGTAAATTTGTAACATACCATTTTATTCTCTCCCCCAACACACATACAGTACCACACTGCATACTATTGCTCATTTCTTCTTAGAAAAATTGATGAAGTTTACTTACTTCAACATCTTATGTCCATATTAAAACAATAGTGCATAATTCCAAGACTTTATTATGTAACACAAAAATAGCATGGCACCAAAATATTTTTAAGTCATGTTACCCCAAATGTTCAGATTAAGAATCAGACTTCCTTCCAAACTTCTTTCCCTCGTCTTAAAACCTGTGGCAAAAAGTTGATTGAAAGTCGGTTTGTGTGTACACATCCCTATTTCTCCAACTGGCTACTGTACAGTAGTTGGACAGCCAACTTGAGCTTCCGAAAATAGCTATTTTCAGAAAAAAATTGTGTTCAAATTCATCATCATCTCACAGTTAAAGTCTACCCTGAATACTATGAATACAACTAGTCTTCCCCCAGTGTCAAAAAGTGCCCTGAGATTAAAAGTAACCAGGCTGAAAAAAGCCTGTTTTTTTTTTCTTTTTTTTGTTTTCCAGAGATATGCTTAGATAAATGGAAATGCTTTTGAAAGTCAGTCAACTGAGTCTTGACTATGGAGAACAAAGTAGAGTAGAGGTGCACAGGAGGAAATCTCTATTCTTGGCTCAGCCAATTCACCTAAATTCTAGATGCAGGGGCTTCTACATTTCAGCATTGAAGCTCATCATGACTATCCAAGGCCCAGATCCACAAAAGAACCTAAGGTCAAGTTACATATTACACTTAGGCCATACTTAGCAGCCCTCTAATAGTAAATCAGAGCCGTGCAGGCAAGAAACGGTATTAACTTTTAAAGTGCGACTGCTCATAGTATGTTCTAACATTTAAACACTGCTTAACGTTCTAGGGATTTAGTATGGTCTAAGCATAATGTGAACTTCACCCTCAGGTTCTAGGCCCTGATATATAATCTGCAGCCCTGAGTTAGTTGTCTAGGTTTACTATGCAATGCATGGGGAGGAGTAACCCCTCAGAACCAAGAACATTACAATGAGTGGGGGGATGCCTCACGTAGTTATTAGGAAATGCCAACAACACTGAAGCCTCAGACTGGAGCAGGTTTTTTATTTTTTAAGTGTCGGCTCTCTACTGACCCTCCCCACTTAAGATTCAGAGCTTCAAACCCTCTAAGGCAAGCCCTTCCTTGCACAAACCATGCTAGGGTCATACCCATTTTATGCTGGCAGTGGGAGAGTCCTGCATCCCTATGGCTGCCTCACCCTGCCAGGCAGGTATCTGAACCACTAAGTCTGAGTCATGGCCCCCTGCTCTAGCTCCATGAATCATTAATGTTTTTAGGTGAAGTGACACAACTCCAGCTGGTGGAGTAGAGAATGACTTCCCATAGCCTATAACTTGAGTGATTAGAGGATTTTACTAGAAAAAATAAGTGTCTGAATCTGGGTTATTTATATGCTGGGCAAGTGCTCCAAGGCAGAGTTGGCAAACTGGTCAACTGACTGATAAAAATATTTGTGACTAATCAGAGATTACAGCAATAAAAAATAAAAAATAAGACTTGTAGTTTTCTTGACAGAAATACTTTTTTGGTTTTTGACACACAATGGAAAATTTGTTTTTTCTGTGTCTTATTTGGTTCTACTGGCAATTTTTATTTATTTATTTTTATAATTTCTGACCAATATTTGACCAGTCAAATGACCAAACTTTATTTGACAGATCAAATACCCAATCCTACTCTAGGAATCTCTTCTTGGTAGATTTGAACGTTACTTCAGTGCAAAACAGTATTTAGCCCTACCAAGAGAGGTTTATTAGTTATTTAATTTACATTAATGGTTCCAAGACACCAATAATTCTTGATTTGGGCCAAAGTGCATCTATACTGCTATTCCAGGCCCCTCTTCCCAGCGCTAAAAGTAGTAATAGTGGTCATGGGCCACTCCTTGGATCAGTGTTTTCAAGTTCTGTCATGCAAGTAATCAGTACTATACTGCTGTGGTGATTACATGTGTAAGCTGCTGTTTTTACTCATGAGCATCCTCATTGGTTTTGATGTAACGTCTCAGTGCCTATTTAAGAGCTCTGATTGGCACTTTCTTGCAGTTGTTAAGAAAAGAGTAGGCACCTGAAGCACCATTCCATAAATGCCACTTTTCATGCCCTGTGGCTTTGATAAGGAAAAAAAACATAGTGGTCACTATGTACAGCTAGCTGGTGTGCACCAACTTGTTTTCAAAGAAACCAACCAGATGTACAAAGTATGCTTGTGCATGTGTGGGAATGTGCGTGCATGTGCAGGAATGTGCACGCATGTGCAAGCTGTGTGACTTAACATTACTGGAGTGAGTATGGTTTAATCAGACCTTGCAGGTTACTTCTGTATTAAAATTGATACTGGAGAGCAAGTTAAAATGTAGAAGTGTTAGAAGCAACTGGAGTAGCCAGTTATCACTGTTACTGAAGAGTTTATTGGAAACTTTGCACTGGTGCCATTATGGACTTTGTATAATTATTGCTTCATTTCCCTCTTCTCCCTTTCACCCCCCTCCCCCCCACTAGTTTTATGAAGGTGAAAAGCTACATAGAAGTTTAGGGGACCTACCCATCCTTCTCTAGTAAAAGAATGTCACTAGTATCCAAGGGCATAGACCAGGGGTTCTCAAACCTCAGGCTGCAGCCCGGCTGCTGGCCTGAAGCACGGTTGGCAGCTGGACCAGAAGTGGCCGCGGATCTGCAAACTGCAGTGCCCCAGAACCAGGTAGAGAGGTTGCAGCTCCTTCTGCAGGGCCCACAGCAGCGCAGGGTTTGGCCCACCCCCTGCCCCCAGGACAGGGGTATGTATTCTTACCCGTCTTCTGGCCAGAAATTCCGGCCATGGTCAGTTGCGACTGCTGGGGTGCAGTTTGCCAGGCCGCAGCATAAAAACTTTGGGAACCCCTGATATAGACAGGTTGATAATCAGTACAATTGTTACATCTGTTATGATGCAACTATTATACCTGCACGATTCTGTAGCAATGTAAGAGTAGCAAAACTGATCCAGCTTCCAAAGAATTCAGTTTACTTGCATCCTTGTAGGAGCACATAGATCTAACACTTAAAACAACACCTACTGCATGCTTCCAAGCAGCAATTCTCCCTCCCCTTTTAAAGTGGCTAAAATGCATGTTTGTCCATACTCTAAGCAAGCACAGAGCTAAACCCATTCGTCTGCAGTGGCTACTTAACATCAACTGCAGCAGAAGAAAGAATCCTGAACTTTAATCATGACAGCTAAGTAAAGGAGGAAATATTCTTCATATGGGTAAAAGAGAACAAATTTGTTTTAATATATTAAAAAAACTGTGTGTTATTCTCATTAAGTCTTGAAAAGGGACAGTTTCAAATACTCAGTATTATCAACCCCAAATATTTGAAAAGACATTTTTTCTTAAAGCATTCTTTACCTTGTTAAACTGGCAGCATGACCTAGGAGAGCTACAGACTTGTATTTAAAGACAAAAAGGTGCAGATTCTCACTTCCTCTAGGATCTAGGGGCTATTCAGAAAAGTAAAATATTGTGACTATTACCAACTCTTATGGTTGTATTGTAAGTGCTTTTGTTAAAAACTTAAATGGCTACTTGAAACTTCTTCTTTAACTGTTTATCCTTTGAGAAATAACAGGATTTCTCTCTTCTTTGCAAAGTTAAACAACAAAAGGATGTTTACTTTCCCATTTGTCAAAAGGAACGGTCATTTTGTGGAAGGCACAGTGCATGTTTACATGCACAATTACAGCGTATGAATAAATTGCTCCCAGGCACACCGCTTGAATGTGTGCCTGGGAGCAATAAACTCCTCAGTTTATTCATGTGCAGCATATGTTGAGCTGGGGCACATACTTCTGTTTTTGAGTGTTGACATGGAAGCTAGTCAGGTCCTTGGGCTTGCACACTTAAATATCTGACAATCTGAGTGCAACTCCCACTAGAACCAACAGGTTTGGGGCCATAGTCTACTCCTGTGTACACAGCAGTATGCACCAACTAGCTTAAACAGTGTCAATCTGATGGTGCTTTTGAGACGTGTGTGTCAAGGCTACCTGTTTTTGGTCATACTTAATGTTGCTTTGAAAATGTTTAGCAGAAAAAACCTGACACACCTCAACATGGTATTCTTTCAAGACCCTGGAGGGACATAAATAGACCTATTACCCTTTCTGAAAAGACTCAGTTGTAGGGCAAATTCAAAGCCAGCCAGGGAGAAGACTTGGGACTTGTAATGAAACGGCAGGATGTGCAAATCAGTGTTGGGAGGGCCAAAAATTCCCTCTCTTTTGCATACTTCACAATGCACTTAAGAGTAGGGCTGGGCTGAGATGCCTGCCAGCATTCCCCCCATCCCCCAGTCAATAAACAGCTACGATTTCAGGTCACAGGCAAGCTAGGCTCCCATCCCATCACTGGTATGGATTGTCTGATGATAAGTCTATGCACATTATTAAAAATTTTGCTTGTGGCCATGTCTCTTGAACTGTTCCCATTGTCTGTTCCTGAAGTTACTCCTCAGTTCAACCTCTGTAGGCAGAAGGAGGGACTGCTCTTCTGTCACAGTCCTTAATCCAAGGCATTATTACAATAATATTAAATTTGTCAAGTGAATTTAGCATTGATGAAAAGTGCCAAGATAGTGAACCCTGGAGATGTGAATATACACACAGCATGATTACAGGAAGCATGCAAGCTTCTCTGACACTTGAGAGCAGTGAGAGTAAAGCTCAGTCTCCATGACCTAACTAGATTCTTGGCACCCCTACTGGCAATATCAGGAGTGCCAAAATCTAGTTGTGGTCTGACCTGGAAACCTCTTAAAGCTGGCTGTCAAGCTCTCAACTGAAAACCAAACTCAAAACCAATTCATTGAGGCAAAAAGACAGTAGTTCCATAATTCCCAGCTTGTCACTGAGATGATTAGGTAATATACCTGAAGTCACATCTTTCAGGTGGTGTCTGCTGGCATTTTTGCCAAGCCTAGTGCAGGCAGGCCCAGAGGCCCAGAACTCTCAGTGGTGTTATCCAATGCCTATGGACTAAGCTCGCTGGAAGTCTCCCCTCTGCCCTCCTGTCTTGCTCAACAACTTCACCTCTTCAATGACTATATCATGAGTGACTGCTTTGCACATATCATACACAGTCAGGGCAGCCAGGCTGGCAGCTGTCAGGGCTTCCATCTCCACACCTGTCTTCCCTTGGGTACAGCAGCATGCCTGGATCACCACTGCATACCTGCTCTCATCCAGGATGAGAGAGACTTCCACAAGGCTTAGTGGGATGTTGTGGCACAATGGGATCAGCTGGCTGGTCAGCTTGGCTCCCTGAATCCCTGCAATCTGGGCTACTGCTAGCACATCCCCTTTCTTCAGCTGGTTCTGAACCACCATCCCAAATGCCTTCTGACCCAGTCGAACCACAGAAGTGGCCACTGCAGTCCTTCTGGAATCTAGCTTCCCTCCAATATCTACCATAGTGGCCCGTCCTTCCTGGTCAGTGTGAGTCAGATGATCAGAGGCACCTGGTACACTGGCACAAAAACCAGGATGACAGGTATTGGCTTCAGACCCTGGACCCTTCTCTTCTGACTGATTTCTGGCAGCACCTCTGGAGTGAGTGTCCACAACAATTTGGCCAGTGTGCTTAACAGAAGGAGTTTCTGTCTTAAGGCACTTCATATTTAAGCTGGAGCTCAAGTTCCTTCGGACGATGCAACTGCCTCTCAGCTGAGCTTGCTGAATTCCTGCCACAAGCTGCTGTTGCTCTGGGTGAGATGCTGGCAAGGCAAGCTGTCCTGTAAACACATTTTTCTTAAATGCTTTTTCCATCTGTTTTAATAAACTTACTCCCAGAGTCAGCCAGTGGCTATGTCTGCTGTGGCCCCATTGCTTTGAACTGGGGGGATTCTGCAGGGCAACTTGGAGTAGTGGAGATGGACTCAATGCTTTCTCTGAAGAAGAAAAAGATAAATAATATGAGACAAAGTTTTCCTCCTCAGCCCCTCCGCCCCCCCAGAATTGGAAGGATATGCTAAATAGCATATTGAATTAGGAGCAGAGTACAGCTCTATTATAAAAACGTCTGGGAAGCCTGGAATTGAAATTCACTTCTTTACTGAATCTCAAACTTCCTTTTTCCCCACTTCTAAGCACTCAGTGATTTGTTGTTAGTGTTGCTTGCAACCACTAGAACTGGAAACACTGCATTACTGTACAGTCATCCATAAAAGAGGAACAAATGGTTTTCAGTACAAAGCAAGGATGTCAAACTCATTAGGCCCATTAATCCAACACACACCACCTATGGCAAGTGGGTTCACTCCAAGACCCACAGACAGCACCGCACGCTGGCTGACAGGGCTCCATGGGCCATATCTTTGACACCCACAACATAAAGCATTAACATTTACTTCTGAGAAATAGCAGCTGAGAAGCAACATGGAGAACAGTTTTGGAGATAAAACAATGAAGGGATTGTGTCCCATCTTCAATTACCAAATAACTCAGCCCAGCTTATCTCATTTTATCTCCTCCCTGTTGAGCTCTGGCTGTTGCTCTTGCCCCTTCCATCTCTCTGTGTAGAGAGGGATCACTCTGTTTTGCTGTTACTGCCAGCACATAGGATGGCCAGGGGAACAGGCATGAGCTGCAGCCATGCTTTCTACCAGTTCCTAGGACTGGCTTTGTGATGGGAACCTCTGTCATTACTGCCAGCTCTTGCTGTGTTAATGATGTATGTCCTAATTAAAGCTCAGTCACTGGAAACTCAAATTCCCTCACTGAACCAGTTACCCTGCTGAGCAGGAACTTTGCCTGCTAAGTCTGGCACTTTAGTTTAAATCCACTTAGTAGCACTCCTCCTGCCCCTTGCATTAATCCCTCGTCTCTGGCATTTCTACAGAGCTTACTGCCAAGCACCAAGACAGAAGGAGCCTGTTACATGCCCAACTGAAGTGATTCACTTGATAAGCAAAGAGAAAAGGCGGTGATGAGGTAAGTGGTCAACTCCTGCTTTCACAATTTGCTTTAAAGACTGTGTTCCACTTCTGCTGCATCCGAGGCTACCAGGCTCTTTCTTGTTTTAAGAGACTTGTCCATGCTAAGGAGTGGTTTGGCTTTGCTCATAGTCTTTCAGTCCCTCTTTATATGGAATTCTTTACCAGCAAGTTCAATAACTAATTCAGATGAATCAAAGCAACAGGACACCTTAACCTTTGCAGCACCTTTTGCAAGGGAAAGGGAAAACTTATACTTATTTTCAGACCTAGTGCTGTAAGCAACAATATGCTGGGCAGATACCACCCCCAGCATTAAATTGCTTTGGACTGCAAAGCAATCAGTAAGCAATAATAAGCTACAGTGGAGGATTAAGGCCTGTTTAACCTCTTCCCTATTAGACTCAACAGTGCTGTCTTTCACCTGGCTCTTAGAGGTAGATGCTCCAGGCATCTCAGTTTAGCCACATTAAAGTCTATTCCAAATATCAGTTTACACAATATATCTATATGGAAGGGAGGTGTGCATAAAGTTAAATGGTCTTTAGATTTTTGTAAGGCAGCAAGTTTAATTCAGGTATGGGGAAAAATAGATGCAGCTTCAATTGACTCCCTTAGAGCTGCATCCTTGCATAACTTGCCTACTTTTGGCTGTACAGCAATGCGATGAACAGGTAATTAGCAGTATGTGAGACCTCATTTCCCTGTGGTAATTACCCATTTCCTAAACAGCTTTAAAACAGACTACATGTACCATGCCTGTAAATGACAGTACAATGCCACTAATGAACCAGAGAAAAGTTTGTTAATGTTCTCTTCGTAATTTACTAGCCAGCCTGAAAAGTTAAGTTTGTTAACTTTCAACTTACATTATTTTAGAGGGTGTAGCAAGGAAGCAGGTAATACTTAAACTAAGGAGAGTAAAGTGAACATGTGAGAACAACTTTCCAAGAACATTTCTGTAAGGGAAATAAGGGACATACTATATTACAGAAAGGGATTAGGCTAAGGTAATTGAGAGAAGAAGCTAGATTTGGCTTGCTAGGACAAGACAGATTAGTCATTTCCAGAACATTAGATTTTATTAAATGAATCCCATGTTTTCTCTGCCTATCTTCTTCAGATTGTTCACATGATAACTTTGACTGAACTTTGAAATTAATTAAAAACGTAAATTAGGAAATCCTGTAGCAGCTTCCTATGCGTGTCTACTGGCCCATGTGTCAGCCTCCACTCATCTCCGGTTATGGAGACAGTTCTGTTTATACAGGGGATGCCAGTGGTTAGCTTTCAAGATGTGGAACACTTGGGGAGAAACTGGATAGATTTCTGCTATTATTTTACTTAGCAGGCTCCATATAACCAAACAGCTATTCCAAGAGAAGTTGGATGGATCCTACCTCTACATCCTGCCTCACTCTCTCCTCCCAGTATTAAATTAGAAAGAAGTCTGAAAGGCATGTACTAATAAATTACATTGGGTTGGGCCTACTTTGAATAGTTTACTTTCCACCACTTTCAAAAACCAGATGACCGTTATCTTGCAACATGCAAGAGTGCTGTAAATAATTGTTCCGATTCTCCCTTCCTGGAATGTAACACAGCAACTCTGGCAACACACCCAGTTTATACCTATATGTAGATACAAGTTTATATCTTTATATCTATATATCTATATATAGATATAAACAGGGTGTGTTGCCAGAGTTGCAGTATTACATTCCAGGAATGGAGAATCAGAAACAATTGTTTAAAACAGTCTCATGTTGCAAAATAGGGGTCACCTGGTTTTTGAAGGTGGTGATAAGTAAACTATTCAAAGTAGGCCCAATCTATATATAGATTATATCTATCTATCTGTAGATGCATATACACACATGCACGTGTGTGCGTGCATATCTGCATGCATGCATGCATCAAGCAAATACAGAGGGCCAGAGTTGCCTGCATGGTTCAACCTGTCCACATAAAAACTCAACAAGACACAAGATGGCATGCAATCAAAGAAAAAGGGAAGAGAGGCCGTAAAAACAGAAGGATCAATTTAAAAAGAATGCATTTGCAACAAGTAAAGTGTTTGGAAGCTCCAGAGGACTAATTTGAGGGGGCAGGTACTGCAAGACCATCCTCCCTGGACATCTGCCCATGTAAGGAATGTTGCCTGTCTACTAAGACAGTTTTCAGATCCTAAGCTAGGTATCTGCACCGCTCCATTCAGGGCAGTTCTCAGAACTGGCAAATGATACTGCAAAATTCATGACTGATGTATTACTAAGCATAAGACAGAAACAGAGATGGAGAGTATTTCTCCCTTGATTGTTTAAAACTTTTTAGCAAGGAATAGCCAGAATTAGTGCTTATTAGATCAGCTTTCACATAATGCTCTCTCAATGCTTTTTTCAAAAACTTAAGCCCATCTTGCACATGCACTTCCTCATAAACAGATATTTTATAATTGGGGAAATACAGATACAGAAGTGATACAACTTATAAGAGTCACTAACAGAACCCAGGAGTCCCAGTCCTTGACTTTGGCTGCCAGACACTATATTCGATTAGAGGGCTCAATAGTTTGGAATCTGCCCCTCCCTGAACTGGATATAAATCATATACTATGGCATTGTCACAATCACCTGGACACACATTTTAGCAAAGGGAGGGGCTGGAGAATGCCTCCACTAGGAATAGGAACAGTAATACATTGTGCATTGCTTTCTACAGCCTAGAACAGTTTAGTGTAGGGCAGGAGTGCTCAATCCCCTAGCCCATGAGCCAGATCCACCTCTCAAGCTGTGTGATCCAGCCTGCAGGGCTCCCCAAGGATCTGGAAGTTTGGCAGTAGGGTAGAAGTGATAGTTAACGCTGCCACTGTTGTCACACAGCCTAATTTCTGACCCCTGCTGGCCAGATGAGATGGCCCCATACATCAGATTTATTTGATTTATGTGGGGCTGGAACCAAGGCAGTGGGCCTAATTTAGCATATGCACGGCTGGGACCAGGACAGCAGGTTTGACATGGCATGCATGGAGTCAGGGTCAGCACAGGGCTGAGGCAGGGGTGGCAGGCCAATACAGCATGCAAGAGTTCAGGGTCAGGGCCAGGACAGCAGACTATCTGGTGCATGCAGGGCTGGGGTCAGGGTATTGGGCCCTATTTAGAGTGTGGAGCCAGAGCCTGATCTAGCATTCACAAGCCCTGGGCTGTGGGTACAACATCTACATGGGACCAGGGCTTAGCACACATTGGATCAGGCTCATGGACCAACCCCCACATTACTTATCCAGCCTGTGGGACCCAAAGGGTTGCATACCACTGGTCTAGGGCACTGAAGGTGCCTGAGGGATTGACTGTCCTGTCTCACCACTGAGGAAGTAAGTCCCACTCCTGCTCTGTGCAAACCAACTCCATAAATGAAACAGTGAAGATACCCTGGAGCTGCCCCAAACCCCCATGCTGGAGCACGCTGGTAACCCAGGTGCTGAGTACAGTGTACAGGGTGCTCCTCAAGGCATTTTCACCACTGCTTCTGCAGGGCTAATGCAACAGCAGGTGGTTTTTATTTCCTCATCAACAGGACTGAACAATCTGCTTTCTGAGCGAGGACATACCCTCAGTGGCTGGGGCATGATGGAGAAAGATGCTGTAAGTATCTAGACAGACACCAGGCTGCAATTTTGTTAGTAGTATTTATTGTGAACCTTTGCAGTGTTACCTTTGAAAAGAATCAAATCCCAAATTATCTGAAGCCATTCACTGAATTTCAGAAGATGACAGTTAGGTGAAATGGCAAGCTTTCCATGTAGTAGCCATACCATTCCACAGGAGCTCAGGAATCCCATCCCAGCAATAAAGCAAGGCCTACAGCCTTCAAGTATCTATTGCAATTTTTTCAAGGTACGAAAATCTCAGCGCACTGCAGCTTTTTATAAGAAACACCCAGAACCTCTGTACTATCAGCATACTGTTCTTGCTTAACATAAAGCAAGTAAAATAAGAGCAGTGTCAAAGCCACCAACCTAGGCTATGAAACCCTAAATACAATTGTATTTTGACTTTTAAAGAATTTTTTTAGAAATAGATGGATGATGGGACTGGCGGTTGATAGATTAACCTTCTTCCCCTGCCTCACTTTTTGTTTTCACTATGACTGCCTTTTTAAAAATCAGCCCATCTGTACCTAAAGAAAGAACCTAACTTAGCTTGGAATTAAAATCCATCCCTCTCTGCTCCATGAAGACTTTAAAACAAACAAGATCACAGTGTATTTATTACGTACTGATTTGTCACCCACCGATCAGGATCATTGGCCGGTTCTTCATTTGGGAAATGTTAAACATGCCTAGAAAGCAAAGCACACGTGTAAAAGGTTAGTTCTCTACATTTTGGGTCATTTGTAGGGCATATTCTATTTGTCGTAGCTTTCTTTGTACCTCTCTCACCACCACCACATATCCCAACCTGCAGGAAAAATAGAGCTCAAGAAACCCAACCTGAAAATATTACATAAAAACATAAAACATGGTATCTGAGGAAAACATTCAAGGGCCCAAGTGGATCCACAATATGTATCAGCCTTTCCCAGATGGTCTCTTGTAATCAGAATTGCAATCTCTATTTTACAACATCCAAATAATTCAGGACTGTCATATTACTTCAAGAGCAATAGGATCTCTCTACAGAAAGAAACGACTTGAACACGTAGCTATATACTGTAGTTTGTGGCACACCAATCTCAAGATGCCCCATGGTTCGATACTAAGGTAGCTAGCAATACCTGCAGAAAGAACAGAACGTGAAGTTGACGTTTGCTGATGTCCCATTGCTTTGGCCAGTAAAAAACCCCTCTGGAATTTTTCAGACAACTTACCTCTTAGGGTGTGTGTAGACGAAATGGAGGCCCTAAACTGAAGCGGTGGGTTTTTAAAAACACCTCTTCAATTTAGGGTCAAGTAAACCCCCGTGCCGTGCACACACCCGTGCACTTACCTGCCTCTCTGGCAGTGGGGAGTGGAGGGCAAGCTGCTGGCAGGTGGAGTGGTCTCTGGGCTGAGGGGGGCTGGTGCTTCTCTCTGTGGCAGCATCCCCCCCCACCACCAGGAAGCACCCAGCTTCAGAGTAGCTACTTGAATTTTAAAGGCATCTAGAGACAATATGAATCAAGTAGCTTGCAGGTATGCCAGCTAAAATAAGGGTAATGTCATCTCATGCATTGGGGTGTAAACGTATTGTCCCAGAGATCATGAGGCTCTGCTCCTCCTCTTGTTCTCAGGATAGTAGTCATAGTCAGAAACAGGACATTGGGCTAGACAGATGAGCTTCCAAACTCTGGCTTTTATGGTCTCCCACTGACCTACTTCTAATTAAAAGAAGCAGAGCAGACTGCTGCAGATTTCTGTAGGCCTTTATGCTTTTGTTCTGGGGATCACCACTGAAGTGGCACTTGTGAGCCATGTGAAAATAAGTCTCTGGAAATCCAAGACTGCTAGGCAGCCTCAGTTCTAGTGGTGGGGGAGATTCAGTAATATGTGCATACCAATCTGAATTTTAGAGCAAGCACATAATATTCAGGTTGACCTGTCAATACTTACTACTTCAAATTCAGTGCTAGACTATGCTTCCAATTAAGTGGGAACCTCAATGTCTCCTCTCCAGAATCACTACAATACAACTCTATTTAATAATTTTTCCTGCCTTCCTACCAACGTCTTGGCCATCATGCACTCTATCTTGGAGAAGCACACTCCTTAGCCCTCTTCCCCTTTGTTACTACTTGGATGCAGTAAACATACCGGCATGCTGTTTCTTTTTTCTGCCCACTGCTGCTCCAATGATCTCAACCAATTCGTCCTCCGAGGAGCCTATCCGCAGATGATCTCTCAAGGACACTTCTGAGTTCCCAAAAAGGCACACCTGCAATAAAACACAGGCAGGTGAAAGGGAGGAGATAAGAACTGGCTAGGGAGCATTAGTCTCTGTATCACTAGCTGAGCATTGGAAGAGTATGACACTACAGTCCTGTCTTTGCATTAGCCCCTTAAAACTGTCAGTCTGAGGATGGCACTTTACATCTCTTCATGATGCCAACATCACCATGAAGAATGGGGAGACATTAGCCTATAAACAAGTTCTGCCCTGTCCAAATCTCCAAGCTCAATTTCAAGGATGAGTATTTCCAAAGTTAATGGAGAACAATTAACTGTGGCAAAGAACTGCATGAGGTGACCCTGTAAAACAAAAAAATTCACTCTTGCCTCAAGTATGTGATTACTGATTAGGGAGGTGTGGATTACAAGGGATATGGCTGTAAGTCACAAAATTCAATGCAAAAATGGCACTGCACTGTGAAGTATGTGCTGCCAAACCAACAAGATCCACTATTTGTATAATTAACCTCATATCAAGCACCAAAGAATGACAGCATTATAACTATAGTGTTTGCCCTCTACTCAGTCCTAAAAATCACCGGTCAGCAAGTGACTTAACCATCTAAAATAGGAACATCTGCAAACACTGGAGACAGAGTGATCACTAGGGTTTTCAGCTCCCTTCATCTCTCCTGACATTGTAGCAAAGGACTTCTTGCACTAGGACACGACTGAGCGCTGCCCATCTGATAAGCCATGGGATATCTCAGGAGCTAGCAACCAAGCTGTAGTCTTTTTTTTTTTTGTAAAGTTCCACAACTTAGATTTTGAAGTGTACTGATATTGCTGACAGTGTGTGCATGCTCATATGACAAACACAATGTTGTCATTCCCCTTCTATAGTTTTATTTTGTTCTTGAAGATAGAGGAATCTAATTTAAAGGAAGCCCCCTTTTTTGTTCAAGCAAAGGACCTTGGGCATCAATAGATTTCTGCATCTCAAAAAGGGATGCAGTAGAATTAGAAAAGGACAACCAAGATGATCAGAGCTATGGAGCAGTTGCTATACTAGAACAGACTGAAAAGGCTAGGACTGTTCAGTATGGAAAGGAGAAGGCTGAGGGGGAATAAAATCAGGCTGTGAACAAAGTGAATAGGCAACTGTCATTAACCAAGTTTCAAAATACTAAAACTAAGGGGACACCCACTTAAAGCATCAGGAATTGGGGTTAGAATTTAACCCCCCCATTTATGTATTTATTTTATTTATTTTCACACATGTTGGATACATTTACATGCGCAATTAATATGAAGCAATAAACTCCAGAGCATTTTGAGCTGGCGTACTGGAGTAAACTGCTCCTAGGTGAAGCATCTACACATGAATAATAGAATCATAGGATCAATGAGTCGGAAGCGACCTAGACAGATCATCTAGTCTGACCCCCTGCCATGGGCAGGAAGGAGCACTGGGGGTGGGAGGGGTCATAAGACCCCAGCCAGGTGCCTATCCAGTCTCCTCTTGAAGATCTCCAGGGAAGGTGAGAGCACCACCTCTCTGGGAAGCCT